ATATCGGTCTTTCCATTCCAGGTACGTCCGGTCCATACCATCAACTCGCCTTGGCGACTGCGGTGAAGATGATGTCCTAGACCGTAGCGACGTTGTCGGAGCTGCTCGATGTTGGAGGTCTTCCAGATCGAGAGTACTGGTCTCCAGGTAGCTATCCATGGGTGACTCCATACTAGAAGTTTCGCAGCTGTTTGGAGGTGACATGAATAGGTCTTCTCCAGTCAGGCCTCACCCCCCCCCACCCATTATTAGGCCTTCCATAGGCCTTCTTCAGTTCGGACTGCGATGGCAGATGGCTCTCTATTTATGGTGTACATGAAGGAATGGGAGGAGAACCTGCTTCTGCTTATCGAGGAACATCTTGGGTATCTTCCGCCTGATACTCGTATCCACGTCTTCTCTCTGGGCTGCGTATTCTTTACTGATATGTGACTCGGCCAAAGTGTCCTTTTTTGGCCCCTGCTGTACATATCTCGTGGGATGATTCTGAAGTTCCCTGTGTGAAATTATGAGATACGGAGAGGAATTCATGTAAGTGGACCAAGATGTTGGAAACGATCAGTGGGTTTGCTATAAAAAATGAATCGTACAGGTGAGAGGTGTACGGTGTATGATGTACAATCCATCTGGCTTCAATCTATTTTTGTATAAACTATGCCACCGAAAACTTCCAACGTGTTAATAGCGTCGTACGGTTTCACAAATCAGCTTCTCGTGCCTCACGCTGCATACGCCACCACAGACCACATTGTGCTCAATCGTTGCAATTGTAGCCCCGTCACAGCGGTAAAGGCGGCTGCCGCGCATCATCGCGAGGCTTGAACCCTGCCTAACTATAGCCGAACGAAGTTGTTTTCTATTTTTGAGAGCGTGTTTCGCTGCGCGATTGCACCTTGATGATAGCGCGGGCGAAATATATAGACGGCATTCTGGTATCAGCACCCTGAAGCCTCGTTCAGTGCACTTCGGGATGAGAAGTGGCACGCTACTGCAGCTGCGAACCCATTTGCCTCGCACATTGCAAGGATGGTCTCGGAAGTCAGCGTAGAGTTTCTACTGGAGTCCGCCTTCAGAATTAGGCTCTCGTGAGGGCAAGTGCTATAGCAGACAGGACAGATCCAGGAGTGTCAGGTGATGCAGTATAATTTCGGACTAACAGCAGACTTTGATGCACCCCAGGTCAGGAACTGCATTCCAAAATATCGGATTGCCGAGAATTTTTGGGGGTCTTCCGAGGACTACAAGTAAAGTAATGCTTCTCAACCACCTCAGAATGTACAACTTTTATTACAACCTTATCCGTTCAGTTGCGTGCAAAACGGGAGAACGTTGACCTTAAGGTGTCAGTGATAGTGTACTTTCCTATCTTGACACCATTTTGTCCATGATTTCACCTTAATGTGAGAAATGGCGCTGAGGCATTGACCCACTTCAGTCTAGTTTTTCTTTCGAACCAATTAGTTAAAAATCTCATTTGAAGTCAGCTGTAACGAATTTCATATGATGAGCGGCCGCCAGTTACTGTTTGCTGCAGGTGAGTCTTTCTACCTTTCTATTTATTCGCCAGATTGAAACCAAAGCTCTCTGTTTAGTAGTAGCACTCTCCTCCAGCTTGAATCCTGTTGAAAGTAGACAGGATCCCTTGCTTCCCTTGTTCGACAGCATCATTCGGCTGCCATTCCTCTCGTCAGCATCCGATGCAGAAGTCGAAAGAGGAGTGAACAACATTCGCGAAGTACTTCAGCCATTCTTTGAAAAGGCAAAGAATGCTTCTCAGGTACATCTGCCCATGCTTACTTTCTTGCTTATACTCCCCTGGACGCCCTGCAGTCGGGGGAGATTTTTGTAAAATACGCCCCCCTATTCAGTTTTCTTGGTACGTCTCCTTCTTCCGCCAGTCTACCGAGCTTTCTACCACATTTCCTGCACTTTTTTTAACTCCTCCAGTTTCTCCCTGTCGTCGAGCTGGGGCAGGGAGAAGTGTATAGCACACTTAAAACAATAAAAACAGAGGAACGCCAGCGAGCGAGAACAATTTTTCCCAAAGGCCAATACGTCGCCTCTCCTTCCACCCGGTCAAATAAGTCCTTGCTAAGATTTCCCAATGTGCACGCTGATTATAAAGCAGGTGGCCCAATAGTCGGTTGACCTTCTACAAAAGTGACTCATGGTGTCCGGAAAACCACTGCTGCCTGCTACTGATAGTGCTCAGACTCACTGGTACTCTGCTACAAGGGAAGGATGGTAGGTCGAAGTGGCCATTTGAAATGAAATGTATACCGGCTGAAAGGTCTTCGGACGGGAATTACGAAACCGTCTTCCATATCTGCTGCGGACCTCCCAGAAAGAAGTTACGGAGCTTTTTAGGGGGAGATGCACTACATATTGGCGGCGTAAGGCTGACAAGATCGTGGCAGCATGGCCGAGTGGATACGTTGCAGGGCTCACGGGTGCGTGGTCGAGGGTTTGAATCCTTGATGCGTGTCTTTTTTGCATTGTTTCGAAAGTGGTCCCTGTGCACTTCAAAGCTATTTTGCATAACACTTGTCCCTGATAATGTCGCGACGTAATGATTCTGAACTGATGGAGCCATTGCGAACGATTTCATGGAGATCACCTCCAGCTGAAAAGATTGTCATACGAGCCGAAAACCTCCAGCAGGTACGAAAACACTTTGAGATAGGCATAATTCAACATTATGTGAGTGGTGAATGAAGCTCTTGCCCATCGCGATCTCCAGCAGCATGATTGTCACATCAACGCCACTTCATATGGAAGCATTTTCCCCATACTCATCTTCGTGCACAACTTCGTGCGTTCGGATTCGTTTTCCAGTCATGTCGTTTGGAGAATAAAGTCATTTGAAAGCAAAATCTTCTTTTGGAATGCACTTTTGTTGTGTATGCTTTTCAAATCAAAAGAGAAGAAGACAACAGCCAGAAAGTGGGCACTATTGAACTAACCCTACCCTACCCCAAAAAACTCAAAAAAATTTTTTCGCTGAAACGTTGCCTATAGATGTAATTCAATGCGCTGATCACGAATATAACATCCGTTTCGACCGCTGGCGTCATTTGGCGCCATTATGCGCCAATTTGGCGCCCACCACTTTTTTCACCAAAGTTGATGAAAACTTGCATATGGGGTCAATTGAGGTCCTGATTACGAATATCACACTGGTTTCAAGCGCTGGCGCCATTATGCGCCAATATAGCGCTGAATTGGCGCGTAATGGCACCAAATGGCGCCAGCGCCAAAAATAAATGCTGGATTCGTAATCAGGACCTCAATTAACCCCCATATGCAAGTTTTCATCGACTTTGGTGAAAAAAGAGGTGGGCGCCAAATTGGCGCATAATGGCGCCAAATGACGCCAGCGGTTGAAACGGATGTTATATTCGCGATCAGCGTGTTGAATTACATCTCTAGGCAACGCTTCAGCGAAATTTGAGTTTCTGGGGCAGGAATAGTTCAATGGTGCCCAGAAGGTGATCTCTATGGAATGGTTCGCAGTGGCTCCATCAGTTCAGAATCATTACGTCACGACATTATCACGGACAAGTGTTATGCAAAATAGCTTTGAAGTGCACAGGGACCACTTTCGAAAAAATGCAAAAGAGCACACGCATCAAGGATTCAAACCCTCGACCACGCATCCGTGAGCCCTGCAACGTATCCACTCGGCCATGCTGCCACGATCTTGTCAGCCTTACGCCGCCAATATGTAGTGCATACTCCCCCTAAAAAGCTCCGTAACTTCTTTCTGGGAGGTCCGCAGCAGATATGGAAGACGGTTTCGTAATTCCCGTCCGAAGACCTTTCAGCCGGTATACATTTCATTTCAAATGGCCACTTCGACCTACCATCCTTCCCTTGTAAGTAGGAAGCCATTTTCTCTTAGAAAAGCCATGCACGCCAGGTTCTCTCAAGAGATCGTGAAGGCCTTACATGGGATTTTCAACACTCATCCGAGATATGTAGTGTATTGCCAGTGTCAATACACTACATATCTCGGATGAGGGAAGGGCGTGACTGCGTACTTCATTTGAACGCGACAACGGCCTCCGTTTTGGTAGTACCGTTTTGAGACAAATGTGGTCGTCTTCATACTGCAAATTTGTAATAAATGGGGTAACCCACGACCTAAGCAATGTTGAAGAATTTTTGAAAGATTATTTTCCGCTATTTTTGATGGTTGGAACTTGCCAATAAAAACGTTTTCTCTGCTCGCTAATACTCGACTGAGAATGGGACAGTTGTAGAGGCATAGCTACATGAGATCGAAACCATTTAGGTCACCAAGCCCAATCCCACTTCTGCGGTATGTCACCTATTTCTTTCCGGAAACATCGAAACACTAATCGGATTGTGATAACGTTCAGATCGCGAACAAAGGCGAAAACACCCGTTGCAATAATAAAGCAAATTGAAAATAAACAGATTATCAACTTAGTTTCACGCTGTCCAGGCAGAATGGCAGTAACAAGGGCCTATACCGGAATATCATGCTATTTTGCTTGGTCTTTGCTGAGCGCACCTGATACCAGGTTCTGCTGGAGAAGCTGAATACAGGGATTTGACCAAATCACGCGTTCGGTTTACTTGAAAACTATGCATTAGTACAGGTCTCATTTCCACTATTCTTTTCTGTACAACAGGTTTTTTTTACACAAATCGCTATTATTGGCACTTCGAGTGACAGTTCCAGCGTTTCACTTCGGGTGACAGTTCAGTGTTTCCTATGAGTAGCTTACTCGACTAAGGACGGCCAGTCGCTCACTTCCGATTGTTGAGCCTTCGATCCGATCGCGCGCGGATATGGAGCGTGCCCAAAGTCTTCTCAGTACCGGCATAGCCCTCGCGGCCAATATTTTGCACTTTATACCGCAACAGGACGCGGTCCTGCCGTTGGGGAGAATTTCTGCAAAATACACCCCACACTCGGAACTCGAAACTTCATCCTCTGGCGCGACCTTCCTCCCCCGCCCATGTTCCCCTTGGGGCGTGGGGCACCCTACTACCACCTTACGAGAGTGTGACTAAGTGGGAACATATAACGCACCTCAAGCGGGAAAAATCCAGAAATGTCATCAGCAGAAAACATTTCTCACAAAGGCAAAACGACCTGCCCCTCAAGTGGCCAAGTACCATCCCGTCGCTGGCAATCCTCACGATCCTCACGTACGACGTGCCCGTACCTAAAACACCGCCGTGATGCTCCTCTGATCTTCTCTTCTTCTGTGCGTGTGTGCTTAAGACGTGGCCAAGGCAGAGTTTTGCGTCTTTCACCTGTCAGGTAATGTTCACAGCCTACCCTATGTCTTTTACAGATTTGGCTTTTGCAGTGCGGTCTTTGCTGTCTCTGTCTAGCCAAATGCCTTCGGAAGTCTCCATCATTTAAAACGGGAGTTAAAAGTGCGTTAATCTTAGAATGGGAGGGGTCAGCACCAAACACTGCATCCTTAAACTATTTACAATTTTAAAGCAAGACGGAGAAGACAGAGTGCGATAAGTGTTAGAGTTGTCAGAGAGGAAGGAAAAGTTCAAAGGTCGTTTTTTGCCTAGTTACGTTACCGCAAACCTGCTGCAGTAGTACGACACGTCTAGCTGAGCAATGCCGTGCACGGTGACCTTGTTTCTGCACACAGCTACAGTTCGAAACAGGGTCAAGCATCACGTCACGGAAAGTCGCTCGGCTGGTACGTTCCCCGTCAAGAAGAAGTGGGAGGAAGTGTCTCTCGACCTTGTAGTCTGTCGGGGTACAATCTTGTTTGCTGTTGGGGCATGTCATAGGGGCTGGGTATGGCGCGGCTACAGCCCACCGTGTTGAAGCTTGTAAGCAACAACAATTGGTGGAAAATGGCTGTGGTCTGGCTGAACCCAGCCCCCCCCCCACTGACATGCCGGGTGCTAAACTGAGCTGCATGAGCCGCTGGACTTCCATTAACTTCATTCCTTTTAAAAAGTCCACATTATCATCACACTTATTATTGAGCTCTACTCATTAGTGTCACCTGTACGAACGACCCAAGTAGGTCCCGTAACGACCCTCACCCCCACCACCCGCGGTAGATTCCGCGACATGAGCTCGACCCTAACTCGGAGCTCGTGACCCTTAGTCCATTTCCCAACGTTCATGTTTGTCTTTTGCAAAATGTCGATATTTAACCAAAATTTGACTTTCCAGGCAAGCATCATCGCTGAGAAGCCATCTGCAGAAGAAGCCAACGCTCATAACGTCACTACAACGACGAACTCCAGTTCAATTGATTCCGAACTCGAATTGTATCGATTTCGACTACGAAAGGCGTTAGCTAAGCTTAAAGCTGTCACTAAGAAGTGGGTAAAGATTCAAGGGATTATCTGGCAAAAAAGTTTTCGAGGTTTTAGACAGGGAAAGTACTCCGAACTCAAGAAGGCTGCTCGTAAAGTTTGCTTCAAGGAAGCTAGAGGACCTACGACACGAACAAAGTGCATGGTGAAGTTGCTTGAAGCCGAGCTCAGTTATCACAAGTGGAAAAAGGGTACGGTACAGCGAGTTTGCTCAATAAAACATGAGAGTTCACCTGAGTAGAACGTTCTACCCTCAGAAACGGGCGATCCTGTTGTGAGGTGACTGCTGCTTACGCAGCGCGTTGGTGTCGCGAGTTTGCAGTCGGAGTTGCACAACCGTACCCACACGAGCAAGAAATTTACAGCTGTTCGTGGCGTGTTCGTCAGAAAATCAATGGATCTCTTCAGGCAGCGTTCATACTTTGCAACAGCAGCCACCACCAGCGTTCACCAGCGATCAGGAAGATACTATTGTGTATAGGTATCGATCTAGCGACGCGGCAGTGTATACCAAGGTCCAACAGGGCCCGCGAACGACCATCAGGTCGAAGGAAAGTATGGATATCGATCCAGTTTGGTTGCACACGTCACAGTTTCACGATGCCTAATCAGGGTACAGCATCGTTGTGCGAAACCCATAGGGGGGTCGTACTTGGCCGCTGGGGAGGGGGGGGTCGTAATCTCAAGGGTCACTCAGAGCCGGGCAATGCTTCGACATTTCAGTTGATAGTGGGAGTGGAGCTATGGAAGTCAAGATGTTAAAAAAATGAAGTTTATTATGAGTGTATTCTTTACAGCTTTAAATGCTACGTTTAACAGCCCTCTTTTCATGGGAAATCCCCAAGAATGGGTTCGTACTTGGCCGCGGGGGACGTGGGGAGTATCGCAAAAGTAGGCTCGCTAGGCATCAAACAGTACAAAGGTGTCATTGCTAAGGGTAATGGAACGGACGGAAAGCTTCAGAAGACCCGGATGTAAATAGGAATACAAAATAATAAAAGATTTATTAGCAATATAGCAAGAATAAATAAATAAGTAAGTGTCAGTTTATAGCATGAACTCGTAAGTACGTAGATGACTAAATAATACGTCTCAAACAGATTCGTGCGTGTTGTCCTTTACAAACCCTAAACAAACATCTGCTTGCATGGATAAAAGCACCTGAAATCAGAATTTACACCTTTCCACCACCTCTGCGTAGGAGCCTAATGCACGGCGCACGGACCAAATCGATCAGAGATAGCCGAGCTTCTCTTTCACTCATTTGAAGGGAAATATGTGTTTTGAAGGCACACTGAAGTTTCCGAAGGTGTATCCTCACAATGGCACATAAGGAGTCAATTTTTCGGGTGGGTCAGAGGGTGGCGCATCTGTGACCCATCTAAAATATCTCCTGAACTAGTGGGTCTTCAGAAAAACTGTAAAGCTTATTGGAAAGAGAATGGAGGGGTTTCAAGACGACTTCAGTCCTGATGAAATTGCGTTGAACGAAGCAATCCTCGCGTGAAGCATGGAAACCAGCTCGCGATTTACCCCTAGCCTATCCAAAACCCATCCGGAATATTTCACCAACGGGGATTGTTCAGTTTGCAACTAGGTAGAATACACAATAGTAGAAACTTTGCCGTTGCATGCTGCTCACCATTCCTCAAAAGCTCCGCACCTAAAAAAGATATAACCCCCGAACAGACCCCAGGACGTTGGCAAGTCCAACAACCGCGCTCCAATGACGTTTTTCCAAAGAAAGCGGTCGCAGCCTTGCGCCCTGCAGCCTGATCGATAATAGCCAAGTATGGAACGATTTACTGCCGGCCTGGTTATCCTTTTTCATTTAGCTCTGCATTTTTTGTATTTTCCATGTTTCGCTTTGTTGTGTCGTGCATGTTTTCATTATTTCCCCGTCACCATTCATTGAATGCACATCTGGGCCCTGACACGCTCACCTTGGGGCTATTTTTTCACCAATTCAGCCTATCAATGATCACCATTAGCCGCTATTCAATTGTGTTTCTTTTACAAGTTGCATGTCATACATAGTTATCGAACGAGGAGTTTTATTTTGAATCCTAAGACAAAATTGTAGGTAATGCGAGGCTGTTGTTCAGCCTCATATTGCAACAGCCTTTTATCAGGAGGGGGGTCGTATCTGGACCCTCTTCAAGGGGGGGGGTCGTACCGACACCGCCGTTTGACACATCCCCATGCTGTACCCTGTAACAGCATCGTTGTGTCAACCCATGGGGGAGAAGTCGTACTTTTGCTCTGGGGAGGGGGTGGGGTTATTGGGTCGTATTTGGAAGACAAATTTATTTTGATAGTTGATTTTTTCTTGTGGAAAAGGGGGTCGTATTAATTTTTTATATGCACTATATGCATTTTGTACGCCCGTGGGATATACGTTGCATAGTTATTGTATACCCCCCCCCCCTCGACAACTTTTTCGCCGACTATATACTCATCGCTAGTCCGTCGGCGAAAAAGCCGTGGAGGCGGGGAGGGGGGTCGTACTCACACCGACATTTCGCACATCCCCATGCTGTACCCTGTGCCCAATCCAACTGTCTCCTCCCTTCTGCTTCCCCATGCTCCACCAGCAGTCTACCGCCCAATTACTTTCCCATACTCTCTACTCACGGTCGCTGGTTGCATGCTCGTTTAGACCCTAAACGATCGAATCATACATTCCTTGTCCCTTCAGCTGGTGGTCGCTCGCGGGCGCTGGTGGACGCTGGAAGACGCACCCGTTCGCTAGATCGATGCCTATACTTTTCTACTAGCTCACAGTCTTACCAGGGAGGTCGTTCAGGACGTGGCGCGCTTTTTGAAAACGGTTTTTTGCATTGTGTAGGGGCACGTTCATGGACTACCAAACTGACGTTCATTTTTCCTAAATGGCTCTTTGAATACCAAAAAAGGAGTGAAGAAGAAATGTAAGGAAACGGGCTGGTTTTGAGCTTCTATGGGCTCCAAATCACTTCCAACTTTGACCAGTGGCTGAGTAGTGGGTCCTTATAAAGGCACTATAGGTATCGAGGAGGAAAGTAGTCGCGAATGGGGTCTTATTTGCGGCACGTGATTGACAGCGAACGCCTCTGGGCGGCTTGTCGGGATGGTTTCTTCAATGATGGGAGCGGTGTTCAGCTACAACGATCGGATGGCCTAGTGGATAGCGTGGAGGATTCTCAATCGGACGTAAGGGTGGGTGTTGATGGTTCGACTCCCCTCGGCGTGCCAATTTTTGCATTTTTTTAGTTTTGCTACCCTCGCCTCCATAAATGTCTCTGCATGAGGATAACATGGATATTTGCCATTTATGGGCAAATTCTTACCTGTAGGATCCGCGACTCGGTATTATAACACTATTACAGTTTTCTCCTACAATTAGGCAAGGCTGCTGCCGAAAACTGATTTTTACGTGTAAGTAAGTGATGAGATTATCAATTTGGTACTTAATTTTAGCTGTGGTGCCATTTGACTCCGATTTGCATCCACATCACTCTCCTACGGAATTCACTATGGAAATCCATACAAGGGACGTTTCGCGCTATCCTGCCGTCAGATTGTGTCAGCGCCAGAAATAAGTGTCAGAATCGTGTTCAGGACCATCAATAACCCCTATAGACGAAGAATCGCTCAAAAAATTTTTCCGACCGTCTTTGGTTAAGGCGGCCCATTTGGTCGACGATTATGACCGAAGTCCCACACCTTGCCAAGGGCGGTGACGTAAAGATGACGTAGCGCGCCGCCGAGCAGCCGCATCGCAAATTCGCTGCACCAAAGGTCCTTCCATGCAGTTATAAGTCTGGATGCATGTGGAATACGTGAACAACCATCGTGGACCTTTGTCGACCCCTAGCGGGTGCTCACCGACGAAGGTGTCATTCTCCTCCAGCCGCAGAACAGAGTCGTTTAAGTTTGCAAAATTCCAAATGCACCTGGAGGGATGTCTGGATTTTTCTTTTCCCAGTGGTGTGGTGCATCCTTTTGTTGTCAGTTTTATGTTTACTAATCAGTAAATGGGAAGGTTTAAATAGCAGGCAAAGTAGGATTTCAGTGGAGAGGCTCGGTGTACACAATCCAATACACACACCCAAAAAGGTCGAAAAAAATTTTTTGAGCGATTCTTCGTCTATAGGGGTTATTGATGGTCCTGAACACGATTCTGACACTTATTTCTGGCGCTGACACAATCTGACGGCAGGATAGCGCGAAACGTCCCTTGTATGGATTTCCATAGTGAATTCCGTAGGAGAGTGATGTGGATGCAAATCGGAGTCAAATGGCACCACAGCTAAAATTAAGTACCAAATTGATAATCTCATCACTTACTTACACGTAAAAATCAGTTTTCGGCAGCAGCCTTGCCTAATTGTAGGAGAAAACTGTAATAGTGTTATAATACCGAGTCGCGGATCCTACAGGTAAGAATTTGCCCATAAATGGCAAATATCCATGTTATCCTCATGCAGAGACATTTATGGAGGCGAGGGTAGCAAAACTAAAAAAATGCAAAAATTGGCACGCCGAGGGGAGTCGAACCATCAACACCCACCCTTAACATCCGATTGAGAATCCTCCACGCTATCCACTAGGCCATCCGATCGTTTGTAGCTGAACACGCTCCCATCATTGAAGAAACCATCCGACAAGCCGCCCAGAGGCGTTCGCTGTCAATCACGTGCCGCAAATAAGACCCCATTCGCGACTACTTTCCTCCTCGATACCTATAGTGCCTTTATAAGGACCCACTACTCAGCCACTGGTCAAAGTTGGAAGTGATTTGGAGCCCATAGAAGCTCAAAACCAGCCCGTTTCCTTACATTTCTTCTTCACTCCTTTTTTGGTATTCAAAGAGCCATTTAGGAAAAATGAACGTCAGTTTGGTAGTCCATGAACGTGCCCCTACACAATGCAAAAAACCGTTTTCAAAAAGCGCGCCATATCCTGAACGACCTCCCTGGTTAGTATTGATCGGAAGCTATGAGACTACACCGCTTTTTTTGCGCCCGCAAACGTTGCGACATTGCAGGCCACGCCCACCACCGCGGTCCCACGATAGAATCGTCCTATACCCAATCACTACTATAGCAAGCTCTGATATATTTGTTTGCGTTTTCAGCTCACAGTAAGAAAAAAGAAACATTGAAGAAGAAAGATATCGGCTCATCTGCCAACCGCGAAACTCGAACGTCAAAGCGCATGGAATCACTTAATCGTCTTCAAGCTTCAGAGGTTAAGATCTACAAACCGGATATGATCCCGCTTTACCGGAAGGGGAAATATCGAGACGTTCAGGTGAGTTTTTGAACAAATTCAGGCATAAGACATGTATCTCAGAACACTTTTTCTATTCAATAGAGAATTTGTGAGGCAAATGTGGGGCAAAGGTAGGATTCACTTACGTTCATTCACCGTCGGGAACTATTACTGGATCGAGAATTAGCCACATCGATTTGCCACCCTTTCGCGAACTGCTATTTTCTCGCTTGGGGGAAAAAGATTATCTGCTCCGCGATTATACTGCATCATCACCATCACCAAGAGCGTTCTAGAGCATCATCGCAAAGTTTGAAGTTTGGAAGCCAGTTCCCACCCTCGATCGAGCGGTTTGTAGCCCCCTTCGCAGTGCAGGCAGTCTGGCCCAGTATGTGGACTTTCCCTTTTTTGTGGCTTCACATGGTGTAGCAAAGTCGCTGCGGCCCTTATAAGTGGCAGTTCTGACGCCTCGTTGTTGCCCCGCCCACCAAAACTCGAAGGTTCAAAGGCCAGTGGCTCTTCTACTACCTACATTGGTGCCCCGCCGACCAAAGCCGAGGGCTACTCAGTCTTTCCTCTGTCATGAGCCCAGTTGTTACACCGTGTTTTTCGATTTTTTCAATGTTATATGAAGCACCAGATGGACGAGAAGAAACGATTGGTGAATCAGAGGAAGGGTATCGGTTGCTGGCATAAAATGAGCAGGTGCGGAGAACTCGTACATTGGGGCGGTGGCGGCCAGGAGACCCTTACAGCCCATAACCTTGTTTTGCGTTTTCTTTCGTTTATAGCCTCTTAGTGATATGGGCTTATTATTGAACACTACTATGCACAATAGGCGGTGATTGTCTCGAAGTCTGTACCAATGTACATTATATTTAGCGGACTCCCATCAGGGGGTACAACTTGGTCGTTGGGGCTACTTCGTTTCCTAGCCCCACTGTTTCCTGCCCTCCGCCCTCCCCGCCCCTATTCGCGCAAGTTTTGGAAAAGTGGAGAAAAAGGGTGGAAATTTGGAGAACTTAGCAACATAGGATAGGACCTAGATAGGAAAAGGAGCCATATCAAATGAGGGACTGGAAGGCGGGAGGGGGAATTCCACTGACACCGCCCCTCGAAACATCACGACTGTACCCTGTTCCCTTCCCATCTGCAAAACGGAAATATTGTTGCTAAAAGCGATTTTTTAATATCCAAGCTGCTTATTCATAAGGCTTGAGCTCTAGGATGAGTAGAGGATCAAACATACCTGATTGCAAACCCTGTTGATTAAGTCCCATTCACTCAGTACTCACTCAACGACTTAGCTAGTTTTCTTGCTTCTGAGAGGGATCTTCTCTTCCGAAGGGTTTTTGTATCTAAAACGCGTCTATTCATGAACGGTTTCCTTGAAAATTTCGGACTGCCATCGTTGTAGGAACAGTATATCCCCACGGACGACGACGGGAAAATTGAACTCAGAACGCTCAAAACAAGGAACGACAAACTGAGGACGAACGTTTTACCATATCGCTTATAGGATTTAATGGAAATTCATTATTATCGTTTTTCTGCGGTTTTTCCTACCACGGAAAGAAAAAGACTCGGTAAGCCTTCGTTGACGCAAAACCTCAATTTTGTGTTCTGTAATAATTTTATTGTTGAGAATTTTCGGATGGATAATAAAGTACTTCCCCAAGATGTTCGTAGAAACGTCCTTGTTGCGCTGCTTATTGAACGTGTAAGCAAGAAGTTGTCGTAGTTCCAGATGGTGTGAATTTTTAACACTCCAACAATTTTGCAGAATTACGCCTTCCATCGTCCCTGGCTCAGTATGCCGCGACCGACCTTCGCGTTGGAACCTCCGTGAATTAGGATTGGCTTCTTGCAAACCCAAAATCGTAGTTACGGTACTAGGCAGGACCAAGTTGTAGTCCAGTGCATGCCTTTTTTGATAGATTACCATGAGTACGGTCCGCTGTCAGATCCCGCTTCCGCCTGAGAAAACAATGACTGACTTTTATTTCAGCAATAGAAAAGTTATTAATACTAAGGCAAAGAGTTATGACAACAATACAATAAGTAATATAACATAAAAAGGAACTAACAAGACAAACAAAAAGGACTGGACACAAAGGATAACTGCAATAATCGTCCTAGATGACTAATCTAGCCACATAGCATTTTTTGGGGCCTACTAACCGGAATGAGTCATGGTATACCGTTATTCCACACGGGACCATTAGATGGTTTATTGCATACATCCCATAATGATAGTGTTGCTTGAAAGCGGATATAGATAGAAAATGAAGAAACTTAGACGGTAGAACACTTTACACTACTTTGCATTGTGTAGTTGCAATACATCGATTGTGCTGGTACGTGCGACGTGGGCAAGTTCAATAACGTTCACGGTCAGAGGAGTTATCTCCCTAAAAATGACTCAAAGATTCTTTCACTCTACGGGGATACTACAACAGATACAAGAAGAAGAAAATAACCTTCAACCTTATTACTTTCTGACGTCATAAATCATTTTAAACTTCTTGAAAGGTTCAACCACCTTCCATAAACCACTGATTCTATAAAGAAGAGATATACGGGAGTTTAAAAACCTCGTAACTTATCCTTTGCTCACGTCCTCATATTTTAGCTGGCTCTCTTAGGGAGCTATATACCATATTATTAGGTTGACCGGAAAGTTTCCCGCCATTGAATTGGTGAGGAATCCAACGGCCAAGCTTTGCGACTTTACCAATCTTCTCCAGCCCAGATTCAACAGTTGATTGGGCATGGCCGAGCATCGCTGCAAGTTCCCTGGTAGTGGCGTACGGATCCTCTTCCACGGTGGATTGCAGCAACTTCAAGTCTAACTCCATCGGCCGGCCGGACCTTGGAGCATCTTGGAGAGAAAAATCTCCTTTCTTGAACTTGGCCATCCAGGTCTTGCACGTGTCGTAAGAGATAGCGTCAGCGCCATATGTATCCACTATCTTGGCTTGGGCTTCCTTTGCGTTTAAGCCAGACTGATGAAGGAAAAGAAGACAGTGCCTCAGGTGCATCCTGTCGGGTTGAAACTTGGGCGGCATTTTGGAATCCAAATGCAAGCTGGGTGAGTGTGAGGTAGTGATGTGAAAGAGTCTCTTCATGCACACCCCACGATAAGTCATAAACATACATGCAAGGCTAATATGGTGCGATCAAACACGTGGCGGGAAACTTTCCGGTCAACCTAATACATTATAAAAGTCTACAGCCCCCAAAGGTAAGAACTACCGTTTTCCAATTATTTTATAATGAGGTCCCGCTATTGATAAACCTCCCTCTTTCTTCATTTCTCTCTTTTTCATTTTTCTCCTTTTTCTTACTCCAATTTCCCTACTTCCTTTTAACCTTTCTCAATTTTATCTTTCCCTCCTTAATATCTTCTTATTTTTTTCCTTCCTTCTCCTTACCTTTTACTTCACATATGAAAAAAGAGGGCCGTACCGCTTACTAAAAATAGGGACTAGCGCTGATGGGGTTATCTCTCTATATATAAACCAGAAGTTATATGCGTGTCTGTATATCTGTCTGTGTGGCCGCCCGAAAATGGGGACTGCGTTGAAAGATACTTTAGGGAACGGATCAAGCTTGGGATGGATGTGGCATGGGTCAAGTTTACAGAGCACATACAAGGTAACCTAGGCTCCGCCCACAATGGGCGGGGCGTGGCCGAAGTGGGCGAAGCCGAGGATAAAAATCCTCAAAGCATCAGGAGCAGCCCACGAAACGGGGGTGAGTGAAACTGAGCAACGAGTAGGTAGATGGATTGGGCGCTCCGCGCCATAGTGCCCATACAATACATAGACTAGCTATAGATAAAGAGAGAGATCGATCGATCAATATAGGCTTGATTGTGGGTACTATACTCCCTTATTATGTTCTCATCAGTAACTGGAAGTTTGAAGAAAAAATTCACAAATCAAAATTTTCCTGACATTCCCGTTTCAGGCAAACTACATACCCCCCCCCCCGCTCGTCGACACCGACATTTATATATAGTAGGATAGGTAGCCCACTGAGCCTCAAATACTTAGCAGTGTAGTGGTCATAGATGTCGTGAGAATGTCCCCTTATCAGTTCTTATCAATTGATAAGATTGCCCGTCACCCGTCAACAATGTTGCTACCACTAAACTCTATAATTTGGTAGTGCAAAGGCTTCAGCGCTTTGACTGAACAACAACGGGAACGTTCCTTATCAGCCCCTATCAGCTGTTATCACTTCCCGTCGCCTTCCCCACCTCCCTTTTTATATCATTTGCTGAGATCAACGCCTAGCTGATGCTGTGTCCCGCGTTGTGGATATGGTGACCTTCCCCTTCTAACTCCCCTTATCAAATCTTATCAGCTGCTAGCAGTTCTTGTCACCCACCAATGATATTCCTGTGCCATAGCCTATATCATGCCTCGGAACAAACGTCCCAGTGTTGCTGTGACACGCGCTATGGACCCGGTACCCCTCTCCTTCTGACGCCTCTTATCAGATCTTATCAGCTGATATCATTCCCTGTCACCCACCAATGATGTTCCTGTCCCACAGCCTATATCATATCTCGGAACTGACGTCCCACTGCTGCTGCGACCCACACTATGGACCGGGTGACCATTACTTTTGGACGCCTCTTATCGAATCTTATCAGCTGATATCACATCCTGTCACCCACCAATGGTATTACCGTCACACCCCCTCCATCTCTTCCTGGAACCAAAGTCTCACTACTACTGGGACAGGTGTTATGAATTTCGTGACACACACACACACACACACAGCGGATTATACAGTTCTCATCAGGGCACAGCATTAAGTTGGGGATTTTGGTCGAGCCCGTACGACCCCCCCCCTTATACATATACTTATGAAGTTTCTTCCCCCCCCCCCCCCGAGGAGGAAGAAACTTCATAAGTTTCTTCCCCTCGGGGGGGGGGGAAGAAACTTATGAAGTTGACACACAGACAACTTCATAAGTTTTTTTTTCTTTCTGCTTCCGAATTCGAGGAACTAGAGGAGCCGTGTTCTGGCTCTAATAACCAGAACACGGCTCCTCTAGTTCCTCGAATTCGTCAAGGGTGATCATGCCCTGAGTCCACTTTTCTGCTTTGCTTGGTAGGTGAACAGCAAACAAGTCATTAAAACTTTATTCATCTTACGAAAAAGTCTGCAGAAGTCAGAATTACAGCTATTCTCGAAAACTTTTCAATAACAAAACTGAATCAAAGCTCTGCAATAATCTAGTATGTACATCTATTGAGAATAGGTGGCATAGAAGACAGAATGAAAAATCAGAATGAAATATTAAGTAGCGACAAGCCCTTCAACCGCCTGAAGCGCCTGAGAGAGAAGCGAGATAAAGCACTGCCTGACAACTAACAATCAGCCTATGGGTGAGAAAGGAACACAAAAGAAAGATTCACCGTTCATTTTTCCGACTCACAGTGTAAATTACGGTATTGACAGAAACGCGATATTTACCTGTAATCATTCTTTCCAGTTGTCCTCTGACTTCGCTATTGAAGATCAGTACAACAATTGGTGTCGCAACATTGTTGCATATGAGTATGAAGTTGAGAAGCGTATTCATGTAGTACTGGCCGTAGCCCTGTATGCCCATTGCCGGTATAATTACAAAACCAGCCGTTTCAAAGAAAAGCAAAACGCAAATAAGCATAGTCTGCAAGGATTACCTGTTTCAATTATTGTTATTATTGTTATTGTTATTCTTGCTTTTAATGGTTCCATTGCTTTTGTTTTGTTTTGAGAGCTTAACTTACTAGACTCTCCACAACAGGTACAACACTTTTTCTTATAAGGCTACTAGCGCAAATACTTGCCCGTCGCGGGGGTGCGTGCATTGCTGACAGTGCACATACAGGGGGGCAAAAAAAAGACTTTTTCTTCCTCGATTTTCGAGGCGCTATAAGTTACACTTTATTAAATTTTTATCGGACATTTCTACCACCATATTAAAGAGCATATTAAATACTATCATGATACTCCGCCACAGCCTTCTGGAGGAGCGCCATCGAGAGATTCTGCCACGCGACCGTCAGTGGGTGCGTGAGTTCAGCGAGATCGTTGATTTCTCCGCCACTGTAGACCACCCTATTGAACTCCGCCCGAACCAGGTAATTGAGGGGGTTTAGGTCAGGTTACCTGCTTAGATATTCCACCTTCTTCAGGTACTCAACGCCCTTCCATTCCAAGTAGGCAAGAGTTTTCCCAACGCCCTTTGATTCCATGTGGTGTCACCCAATCCTGTAGCAGTACAAAGTTTCCAAGAAGGTACGGGCGACGACATGTGGAGAGGATATTCTTCTCGAGTTGCTCGATGTAACCGCCAGCGCTCACCTTTAGTCCGGGGCCCACGAAGAAAATATCGGTCTCTCCATTCCAGGTACGTCCGGTACCCACCATCAACTGGCGTCTTGGTGACTGTGGTGAAGATGATGTCCTAGACCGTGGCGACGTTGTCGGAGCTGCTCGATGTTGGAGGTCATCCAGATCGAGAGTACTGGTCTCCAGGTAGTAGTACCAGTATGGCACCTAATTGGTGCGTAATGGCGCCAAATGGCGCCAGCGC